GTCTGTCTGTCTGTCTGCCTGCGTGTGTGCACACACGTGTGCATGCGTGTGCTTGCGTCCAGCATTTTTCCGACAGTGTCAAAGCAGGACTTGCCGACCAGCCCCCTTGGCAAGAGGACGACATGGCATGTCGAACCATGCAGCTTCCATTTGGGCGAATCGTATTTGCAGGACGGGATCGCCAGATCTTCCTTCAGCGAGCAAATCGGATCCGCAAACGGCTGATGCTAACACGGCAAGCACAAAATCCAGAGGATCCGAGGTGCATGACCACGAAGGATTGCCAAAACACATCATTTGCCCTGTTGAGGGAGGCAGAGGACGCGGATCTGAAGATGACCCTCCAAGTGATGCCGGAGGGCTCAGAAGTGTCTGCGAGCATTATTGCCAAGCTTGGCTCGGCACTGCAGGCTGAAACCGTGTCAAGTGCCAGTTCAAGAAATCCACGATCCAGAATGACCACACCATTCATGTCAGCCAGCGGCTCGGAATGTGAGAAATTCCCCACGTCCGTTGCTCGCGTCATGACCGGCGTGCTGCTTGCGACTTGACAATTTTCCCAGGCGGTTGATTGGGGCTACGAAGTGAGTGCTCCTAAGGAGGCTCGGACCACTTAGCAAACGATTTCTTTTACAAACCTCCCACGAACAGAGGCAACACAGGCTGGTGCTGCTGCCGGCGCTGTTGCTGCTGGTGCTGCTGGCGACAGCGTCCCCAGCTCCAACCGCCGCCGAAGGCTGAATACAAGAGAATTAGGTTGGCTCGTCCAAAGGCCAACCTGCCAGGTCCAAGCCATCATCACTGGAGCCTGCGCCTCGGCACTGCTCGGCGAGCTCAGATTGTAACTGTTCTAGAACTTCTCCGAGTTGATTGGTGAGGCCGTACTCTTCCGCAACGGATCGCAACCTCGTGAAACAGGTCGGTGCATCATTTTGGAACGAGTGGGACGAGGGATTCTTCAATGCAGAGAGAGAGATGCATAATGCCATTGCTTGACCATCGTGGAGAGTCAGCTGACTGGGTGATAGTTGCCTCTTCTTGCATCCTTGCTGCATGCAGAAGACATGGGTAGAGTTGTGCTGAAGATCGTGCGATTTTAGTTCGCCGGTGCCACAGTTTGGCTTGTGCATGTGACGGTGACCTGCAGGTCAGCATCGAGTCCAGCATTGAACGGGAGATAACGGAGCGTGTCAAGTTGAATGTCAACGGCTCAAGATGGCTCAAGTTTCTTCGCAGCTTCAAGCACTGAGCCTACGGTCCTACAGTCCTCCGGCTGTCGAGGCTCAGCGCCAAGCGAGAGAGGAACGGCTGGTCCAAGTGGGCAGCGCTGATGCAAACGCGCATCCCTCAGACGCGAGGCGTCCCATAAGATGCTCCTGCCTACACTGTGCCAGTGTCCACTGCTTCCCACACTTAAGCGGCATAGCCCGGCAAGCATCGACGGCCTTTTCGACAGCTTGTCACCAAATTCAGGCCAAAAACAGCCGCTGGCCTGAGGGACACGCATGGATGGCAAAGCCTTCACCTTCATTGCCAAACGGGCGCAGTATTGTAAAACTCCTGCTCAAGCCTCTATCTGCAGGGGGCAAAGTGATCTTGAAGCATCCATTCGAGCACCGACGAGCACAGCTGTTTCTTAATGTGAACGGCCCCAAGGTGCCTTTGGCCCTCGAGAGGTGTTCGTCAGCAGATGGTGGAGGTCCAGAGGCAGATCTTGCGAATCACATCGCAACTTGTCTGCAGGCCATTTCGGAATTTGTCTTAGTGACAGACCTGCGTGCATGAGTAGAGGCATGATGAGGCATGCATATATGCGCGAATGCAGACATCTGCGGTGTTTTCCGAAAGAAAGCAACATGATCATTGATCTCAGGTCCGTGTCTGTGGAATTACATAAAGCCACTTTACTATGTAAAGTAAGAATGTGTCCGCGAAAGTTACGAAAAAGCTCTCTCCGTGGAGCTTGCGTGAGTTGTCGATTACAGTGTCGATTACCAAGTCACCTTTCGCAGTATGCCCCGGCGAAAAGCGCGTTGGGGTCCTCATCGGGTCCGTTATTGTCCTTTAGCAATGAGATAAGGGGGGAGGGGGACCCCTTCTCCTCTCTACTTGAATGTGCTTTTCCAGCATCTTGTTCAGTGCTTTTTTTGTTTTGCCATTGCAATCAAAATATGTCCGCTCGACCCTGCAAGATGGGCTTAAGGAAACAATTGGCAGCATGGCGATCTTGGGCACACACTCGCAATGCCGGGCTCAGGGCATGGCTGAGCTTCCCTCCCTAGGTTTCATGGCCCTTTGCTCAAATTTCGTAATGCCTCCCTGAAAGGAATCAACCTAACACGAAAGCTCTGATTTGCATTGGCAGACGGGCACGTTTATAGAGAACATGCCATCATTCCGCCAACTCCCTTCACCTCTCACCAACGAGGTGACAAGATCTGTTTTTTCGCGAAAGCTCCGCGTGAGCATCGATTTGCAAAGTGTGCGCTGAGCACCGCTAGTACTACTGCTGCTGCTGCTGCCACCACCACCAAGACCACCACCACCGATATACGACTACGTCTATGTCTACAACTGCAGCTGCTGCTGCCACTGCTATACTAGTCCTGCGACTGCTGCTGCTGCTGCTGCTGCTGCTGCTACTCCTGCTACTGCTCCTGCTGCTACTGCTAAAGCAACAACTACTATACTACTACAACTACTACCACCACTGCTGCCACAACAACAACAACACCAGCAGCA